GGCTTATTTGCTATTTCAATATATTCTTGAGGGATGGCAATTTAAACGAGAGAGGTAGACGTACCCACCTTTTTGATATTCCTTAGCGGTGTAATATGTTTCATAATGAAGTAGTACTTTCAACAGTTTAATGTAATTACTAAATTTATTTTCCTCTTTTATATATGATGGCAAATTATTATAATATATAAAAACGGACATTGGGTAAGGCCCGGAGCTATGTAACATTAGAAATTACAATCACACAAATTACAATAAAATAAAATATGCAAGTTATTTAGTAAATTGTAATTTGACCACTGAACACCATTGGTAAATGACGGTGCAGATTAATAATATCGCTAATCCCCTCATCGTCAGCCGAAAGGATGCAGATAGATAAAGTGGGTGTTTCCTCCCGGACGTTTGCCTATACATATTACTACTAACTGAGCCCGCGACTTCGTACTACAATTACGATTTATAAACAAAAATGTAATATGTACATTTTTGTTTATAAATCGTATGCAATAAAACCAACAATAAATTTCAAATGACTCTTACTACATATATATACATTAGTGAAAACCGCAACTATATCGGTTAAACCGCTAGTAAATCGGATAGGAAATTAGTTTCATTTTTAGATAGATAGATAGATAGAATATACTTTATTTGCAACGTACAGTAAAGAAGAACCACAAACAATATAACAAAGGACACATGTATCGTTACAATAAGGCGGCCTTATTGCTAAAAGCAATCGTTTCAAGGCAACCTTAGGGAAACGGATTGAAATATCGAACAGGTAGGTAAAATGACCTGAACAGGAGAAAACTAAAAGGTAATAAATATATAATGATGATAAAGGAAAATTATAATAAATATTAAGTATATGAATTAAAATTTATGTACACAATAATATTCATATATTAAACTAGATACACTTACATAAACTACATACATATTATAAACTACATACATAATTTTAAAGTTAAATAGAATAAACTAAATATAAATATATATAAAGATACAGGTAACGAGTTCCATAACTTGATACCAGTTACAGTATAGGAATTGTGATAGAATTCAGTGGAATGGGAAGGAGTGGAAAGCAAGAGATTTTCGGAAGAACGTAATAATAAAGAATGAGTAGAAGAGGAAAACATGAAACGTTCTTTGAGATAGGAAGGAGCTTTGGGATTAAATAGGATTTTATTACGTCGATCTCGGTGGTCTAGCAGTTTAGCACACCGCTGTATTTCAGAAGGTCGCCGGTTTGATTCCTCACACGGTTCAAATATATGTAGTCATATAACTATGATTCTTGGAGTAGGTGTACTAAATAACTGATAGATGTAATTATATATTTTTTTATTAATACATACATAATATATATAGGCTCTGCTTAGCTTGGGTATAAATGGTGCTGTGTATATTGTCCAGACATATTAAAATTATATATACATGTAATATACTACTTAAATATTCGCGCGACCTAATAATATTATTATTCTGTAATAATAATATCCTTATTATTAAAATAAATTAAAAAAGCCTTTTATTTAGATTTCTTATTTTTTGGGTTTATTTATATCCACGATTGTGTACGCTTGTTATTAATAACATATTTAAGTATGCCGTTAGGTTTTGTACTTGTGAACCGATTGTAATGATACAAACACTAAATGTTACGGAAGTTGCGTGCACTGACATCAGATATTACCATAAATCCAAAAAACTTTTTTTTGTCCTCGTAACAAATAATAAATTAACTTGTTAACCATAAGTTGATTTTATTAAAAATATTTATTGTACAGACACGGCACATTTATGCTTTTATGACACATTTAATGTGATTTGTGTGTATTATATTGCATTAATGTTATTTGTGTTCCCGAAAATTACAATATTACCTCAATAGCTGTTGTTGTATGTGATTGGGATCATTTGATGGTAAGTGGCAACCGTCGCCTATAACACATATGAATAGCAAAACAGACATCACTTTATCACGTAACTACCGAGATACCGATCATGCGTTTCCATTCGGTAGGACTACATTGTCATGCGTCTTATCGTGTTATTTCACTGCCTAACCTGACCCTATAACAGAAACGGCTTCTTCAGTGGCTGATATAGATTCGACTGCAGCACACGTTGATAATAATCTAGACGAGGTAATCTGTCGTGACAATATCGAGATCCAATGGTACTACGTCGTCTCATTAAATCCCTAATCATAGAACTAATCTTGAACTAACTTACAGTTTGTGCCGCGGTTTAGGAGATTAACATATGCTATCATACGGCGAATGGGTCTATCTCCACGATGGATTTTCATGATGTAAAAAAACAGTCATTTTAAAATGACTAAGAAATAAGAATTACCAGAATACAAATAATATCAGCAAATTACACATGGACTACAACAGTAACAAATACCTATAAAATAAATTTGTTCCTTTAGATAGGCTAATAAATAATACTTTAGAAATACGAGTATGCAGTTCCAAATAGTAATGCAATCATAGATGGCTTTCGAAAATTCAGTTTACAGACGTAAGTAGGCGGATAAAGCAGGCGTAAGATATAGTGTGAGTCACAAATTTGGAACTGGTTTTTCGCGTCGAATGTCGAACATCAGGCACTCTAGTGTGGCGAGTGCGAAAGTAGAACGAAACGTTATTAAAGGAATTGTTATTAATGTTATACTACTTTATGAAATAGAAATAATAAGTAAACTTTACATATTACCACTTATAACAATTTTGGTTATCATTAAATTATATTATATTATCTGTTACTGGCTAACAGTGACACATAATGTAAATAAACACTTTTAAACCTACATACTATTTCTGAGAAAGAACTTATTCTACAGATCCCTACATATTATTCCACAACAAAAAAAAAGTTCATATGTATAAGGCAGAGAAATTAGGTGAACCAGTACCTTCTGTATCATTCTAATTACATAAAAAAATACTCTATAAAAATTATGGTACATTACTTTTTATTCTTTATTTATATCAGAAGTGTATTATCTTCTGCAAGAGAAATCATCTAAATCTTTACAATATAAGGTTCCATACACAAAAAAAATACTTTTAAACGACTAATTACATTGTTTTGACAGATATATGAATATAATTTTTATCTTTGTGTATATCTGCAGTATGTGTACTATTATCGGACTGGTTGGTAAATAAATAATTATTTATTGCAATTATTAAATAAACTTATTGAATTTAGGGACACACTTTGTGCTGCAGAAATTAGGCTGAAATTAACTGCACATTTCATATGAGTATCCAACACGCTAGGTAGTTAGGTAGTGTCAGTGCAATACTATAGTTACAGCTGTTTCATAATTTACTTGCAAAGATTGTCTGGAAGAGATCGCTTAGTAATTAATGGAATTTTGTACTTATCTTTGAATAATATAATTTTTTTTTGGTGGAATAGTGTGAATGTAAATAATTATTATTTGTTCCAATCAAAAATAAAAATATATATAAAGAGATGAATAATTTTATACTAATTTGTTGTAATAAACAGATTTCAATATTAAAGTAGTGATTTGATTTAATATTTTATACTATTTAACTGTATAAAACAGTGATTTGACTCTCTTTTAATATTTTATACAAAAATTTAAACAATACACACAATTAATTGTATTCTCTTTATATTTTTTCAAATTTGCTTTGCAAAAAGCAAAGCAAAAGTAGGAAATCTGAAAAAATATGAATTAAGAATAATACTATTAATGTTGTGATTACAGGTTGAATGCAGTATGCATGGATAAAGGGGTGAAAGGATGGTCAAGATCTTTACTCATGGGGGCCATAGCAAGTATAAAGAAACCAACAATAATTATGAATAAGTTTAGAACTTTATTTTTATCTAGAGTAATAAAGCTAGTATAATAATAAAGTGAAGAATATGTATGAACTTGGGGCTAAATCTGTGTGGACTACTCAGATCCTTATCTGCCATTGTGTTAGTAATTTTCAAAAACCTAGTATCAGTAAACCTATATTACATTTCATATTATAGTTTTATTCCAACTAAAGTAGCATTCTATATGTAATATTAAGTATTTATTAACAATATACACAAAATAATAACAATAATACATGGAGAAATAGATTGTCTATTCTATTAACATAAAATAGTATGTGTAAAACCTTAAGACGCCTATGTTGATCATGATTTTCATCTATAGGATGCAAATTACTTTTATATTCATAAATTGAAAGTAATTAAAATAAATATCCAATAATTGAAAGTAATTTGCATTAAAAAAAAAAATTTTAAAGAAACTATAATAAATTTCGTTATATATAAAAGTTAATGTTGAAAATAAAACATTATCTAATGGACCATAATACCAGCTGGTTGGAATAAATAACTACAATATTGATCTGTGTTTAGATAAAACCAAATTTGTAACCAAATGTGTAAATATTAGTGTATAAATAAATCCTAAGGAATGAAAATATTATAATTATATATAACCTTATCAAAAGACGTAACTTTATAGAATTTCATGTTTCTCCACATAGTTTTGGAAATGTAATAATATATTTATTTCTGGTGGTTGAAGTTTTATTTTACTTAATATATAAATGTTAATTATTTCTACCATATATGTAACAGAACTATAGTACTTTATGAATTCATACATTTTTTAGTGCATTAAAATTTGATTAACTTGCATTTAAGAATATAAGATAAATCATAAAAAATAATAGCTTCTAGATTATTATGATTAAAAAAATACGACACATCATAACACACTGGTAACAAAGAATATGAGTACCAGTATAGTAATAAAAAGTTTAAGTGTTTCAGTCATTTTCCATATTCAGCTAACTCTTACAAGTACGACGTTATTTGAGATCGTTTCTGGCATGATTGGAGTACAAAAGGTGATGGACATTGTCAAATGTGTACTGAATGAATTGTGTACAGTTATCAATTCTTAGTATATACATATCGTATACAAAACTTACCACTCTCAATATATGGCAGTGCGAGAAGTAGAAAAACTATATATCCAATTTCACTAAACATTGTCACATCCAAACACACACTTTTCATATCACTAAGTCATTGCACTACACAATACAGCTGATTTTCAAACCACACAAAACCTTTGTCTGTTTTTGACAGTAACGCATGCGCGTGCTAATAATATTTTTTTATTTACAAAATCATAAAAAAAACAACTTTTTACACTTATTAGTTAACTACCAAGAACACTAGGAAAAACTTAAAAATGTGACGAATTCAATCAAATAACAACAATTGGTTTCCGTGTCATGAGTGACCAAACCCAAAAACATTAAAGTTAACAAACACTATTAAATATTAAAGGTCCGGTGATAATAACGTAACATTTCAACTAATAATCACAATATTTTATTCTTAGCCTAACAATAAAAATAAAAATAAATCTAAACTCAACGTCCCCACTGTATGACAGTCTGACATATTGGAAGTATTTGCATCATAGACAACTTTACACCAAAGAGTAAAGGAATTCAGTTAAACATTATTTAATAGACAAAGATCAACAAGTATTAGGCTTCTATGATAAAATTTAAAATATAGTAGCATATAATGTATAATTAACTGATCGAACGAACGAACTAACGGAAATTGTTATTACAAAAAAATTCAACATATTACATTTTTTTATACTGAAATATGAAATGATTAGTTTGTTTTTTTTTTTAATGAATCTTGTGACTGTTGCATTGAAATGCATCTGCTTGAAACAGTCGCTTTATATTACATTTTCATAATATTACGCTAGTTGTACGACTGCACACAATGTATGTATATATATACGTACTATAACAGCGCAAGTGATCATAATGTAAAGGCGCCATCTGCTTTTAATTTTATCAATATAGACGAGATATCAAGATCAAGATATCTTACAAATATATAAATCAAATTAAAAAAAAATAAGACCCCGGCATGAAATAAATTTGATTTACTGGCCAAATGGGTCAGATCCTGGGTACGCCTATGGTTCCTAAACCTTGTATAAATAGATTCTTTCATCCAATTGCATATTAATTAAAAGAGGCTTGTTTGGATATGGTATCGGTTAAAATTATCATTTGTTATCATATATTGTCTGATAGGAATGGTAGCTGTGTGAAGTGTATTCACCTTCAGAGCATGATATGTATGTATTGAAAGTATTTTACAATTGTACCTTGAAATAAGTACAATTGAAAAATATTTAGATAAATTAGATACAAACACCACTTTGGCATAAAAATTACGAAGCCGCGGCGTAAGTCTAGATTCGAACCTTTCCTGGCACTAGTTGGCCTTTTCAGCCGCTCCATAAATACTTCCGCGGGTTTGCAGGGAGTGCAGCTGCAAAGTAACGTCGAGCATTAGAATAGTTCGAAAAGAAAACATGATATAGTACTAGACGGAATGGTAGGCTGTAGGTTACAGCTATATAAATATAAAAAAGATGTTTGCTTGGCAAATTTAGTTTATTTTTTATAACAATTTATGAAAAGTTTATAGTCTATGTAGTAGTTAAAAGATTAAATTACAAATCTAGGAACATTCTTAAGCCTATAGTTATATCTATTCTATTTTATTTATGAAAGAGTAATAATTAAATGTGAAACTTTTTACAAAATATGATAGATATATCCAATAATGTATATTAAAAAGTTACAATCTGATTTTCTAATGAGTTGAATGATTTTATAATAATTATAATAGCTAAGTCACCAGTGCGCTTTCGACCGCGAGCTCTTTTCGATCGAAAGCTACTATCTACAACTTTTGATACGCTCAATTCGATAAAATTAAATGATTACAGTTTATTTGCCGTATTTTTTTACTAAATTGCATGTCAATCGTCATACATTATTGCATGATCGATGGTTCCTCGAGCATGTGTCAAAGAAAGATGCAAGATGAACATGAAAGCCCACTGGTGTAGACATAGCTAATGATATACAATATAAAGAACAAATTATTTTTATGAACACCAATTATACAAGTGATTCATTAATAATGCAAGTTATTTTTAGCATCAATTTTGATTAGCGTTTATAGTCAGTTGTAGCACACAGCAGACAATAGATATCTTTGTGTTGCAAAATGCTTGAATGGCTTCTCCCCAATGTATTATAAATTACAAAAACGAATATGTTAATTGCTTAATTTTAAAAAGAACAATTCGTAAATTACCCTGCAAAATCCAGAATAAAATTATGCATGACTGTGACATATCAATTTCTACTTCATAAGTACTATGATGAAGTATAATGATAATGCAAAAATATCTCAAATGAAATCCCAATTGTCTTTAGTGACATAATTAGTATGCAAGTAATATTACAGGAAGCAATCGATACATAACAACTTAACTATGTAAAAAATTAGTATTACAATATTTTGAATAAAGGCATTTAAACAATTAACGGAAGACAATATGATCTTGTGCAGTACTATAGTTCAAGTTTTAAAATTGATATTGTTTATGATGAGAATGCATTGTTAGTTATATTAGATACTACTGATACATTAGAAAATTAGGACCAACTTTTTTGTAATTATGCTTAAAGCAATATCTATCTAAATACTCGACTGGGTCATAGTTTAAGATTTTAATGCACAATATGTGTTTAGATCTTCATATATTAGGTTGGAATACATTCATTCAATTTTTCTGGGGAAAATACTCCTTTTTCTGTAATAATACCAGTTATCAAACTGGCCGGTGTTACATCAAAGGATGGGTTCCAGCAATTGATTCCTGAAATAAATATTTTTTATCAATCTAAGTATTTGAAGTTAAAATTCAGTCTTACTATATTTTAATGTACTTAATGCAAATTCAGAGTGATGTCTGGAGGATAGCTATTGTTGTAAACCATCTTAAAACAACACACTCTAAATATATAACATCATGAACTTGAAGCTTAAGATCACCTAAAATTATTACACAATATTGTTGCCTTTAGACATTTGATGAAAATGTATTAAATACATTACATGTTGTTTATTTAATAAACAATATATACTGAATAGTTTGTAATTATAATTTTAGGTGAGATTAATTTCTTCTTTAGTTCTTTTCAAGGCATGAGTTTTCAGTAGTCTAGTTATAGTTTTTAAACAATTTTTTCTTGTAAAGGCTGGGTACGCGTAAATTTGTTAGTAGTAGAATCTAAGATACAGCTCTTGGTGAAAATATGTTCTGTCTCTATATTAAATTACATTTGACTCTGTACAGATGTTCCATGGACGAATAATAAACATCCATTTATCCTCACAAACATTTCATTTCGACGTCAAAATAGATTGTATAAACGGATATTGGTTATTTGAAGTTGCGGGAAATATATAAAAAATATGAACACAAACCTGGCGCGGCGATCCTATGTTCTCCTATATGCGTCATTTCCCTGTCAGGTCGCTCTTCAATCTTAATCTTTTCGCCCGAGGTAAGGGACATGTCGATAGATGTGAGAGGTGCTGCTACATAAAAAGGGACTCCATGGTGTTTTGCAACTATGGCTATTTGATACGTGCCAATTTTATTTGCTGTATCACCATTTGCTGCAACCTGTGAAAATGTTATAAGTACTAAGAACAACACTCTAATTGTAAGCCTGATATGTACATATTATTATATAGCGCAATTAATCTTATTTTTACTTACATGGAAAATTAAGACAAACTTAGTCAAACCATTAAAATTTTAATTACAGTATAAAGATTTAGACACAAATAATTTAATTTTACATTAGTATAAGTAAGTAAAAGGATAACGACTAATGCGTCATAGATCATACTAAATTTGGATCTTTAGCCATTCCAGAAGAAATAAACGCCAGCGAATGTATGCACAATTAAACATAACCAACCCTGTCTGCACCCACAACGACAGCGCTGATCTTTCTGAGGTTCATAAGGGCAGAGACCATGCTATCTACAATTAAAGTGGCAGGAATCTTCTCATGTACAAGTTCGTAGGCCGTGAGTCTTGCTCCTTGATTGTATGGTCGAGTTTCCGTGCAATAAACATGTTCTGGAAATAAAATGCTAATTATATTAGAACTTTGATAAAATCTATTAAAAAATCCTCAAACAGATAGTGATTACAAAGCCTGATTGTTTTTAAACATGATTGACATGAAACTTCTCAAGAGGTGATGGATTTTAGAAAAGAAATGGTTTACTGCGCTACTAAAGACTACCTTACTAAATTTCCTAAACTAATATTCTAAGCTGTTTGCTTACCTAGTCTCTTTGATGCATGTAAAGATCTGATAACCCCGAGCGCAGTACCATACCCTGCAGTGGCGAGGGAGCCAGTGTTACAATGTGTTAATATCCTAACTTGACCATCACCCTCCAAATTGCTCAAAATAGCTTCACAACCATAATTTCCTATAGCTTTGTTATCTTCTATGTCTTTGGCCAACATGCTTTCAATGCTGCTAATGAATCTGTTAATAGAGAATCGTTCTAAAGTTGTTAGTTGATACTGAAATTGTAACAAAGATGCAAGTATTGTATGTTCTTGTAGAGTTTAAAATTAAAAATGACAGAATTATAAGAAATTTGAAACTATATTTTTAGATAGATTTGATATATTAGATAGCATTGATTATGATATTTTTATCTTGAGGTGAATATAATAAAATTTTCCGATTTTACAAATATCTTTGTTAAGTCTACAGTAAAAATAAGATAATATTATTGTTAGTGTATATTTGAAAATGTGATATTATCCTAAGCTACCCTGTCTTGCAAACCAAGTTTTGATTAACCTGAATAATGAGCTATTCTATAAGGAAATAAATAAATTCATATTACACAAGTTAGATTTAGAGAAAGGACAAAGAAATTGCATTTCTTAGAGATTGTGCTTTGTGTTATATGCTAATATGATTTTAATGAATTTCATGCTCATAAGTGGGCTCACTGAAGTGCTTATTTTTTATTGTATGTTAATAGCTTCATTAAATGCCATAAATTACATGGCAGTCTTAATTCCACCATGTCTCAAGAAATGTGAGGTGAAGATAGCATGATAGATAGATATCACGAGGATGGGCATATCCCATCTTTTAACTCAAAATAGCTGAAAAAATCGCGTGTAACAGTTAGTAACTAAATAAATAAAAATATTTAATATAAATTGGTAATTGTGTTATGATATAAAATTAACTAACAGTTATAGATCCAGACCATTTTCACTGGATATAATCCTATTCCTTGAAATGTACCTACCGTTCTTTGAAATCGTTTGGCGTAACATTTTCCGCGGCGCTCAAAACATTTGCTAAATTTATCAGTTCTTCCGCTGCTAATTTTATATTCACAGCAGTTGGCCGCGCAGACACTAGGTAATTGAGCTTACCTTCAATCTGTAATTAGTGTATATGCCAAGATTAATATGATATGACCTATTTTAAGTGACTATCAACAAATATACTACTAGGACTAGGACAAGCGAATAGGTATATTCACTTGTGCAGTATATGTAGGTATAAAATTATAGTCCTACAGTAAAGCTTTTTATCATTTGATATATGTGCACTAAACAACTAAAGACAATACATTTTTATATACATAGATATAACATATAGTAAAATGCTTAGCTTACTACAAAAATAAATAAATATAATCATGAATGTAAATGTTTGTATTATGTAGCTATCAAACCTGAAATCATCAAAAGTCTAAAATGTTTTTAAAACTGCTACATTAGTAAGTAGGGTTGTCAACCTTGGAACATTTAGCTTTGTATAGTATTAAAGCAGTAGAATATTAAAAAAATCTATTTAAATTGTCTCTCATATCTCATGCAAACTTGAAGATGATGAAAATGCCCTCATACTGAGGGCTAAGATGCTTGTTTGATTCTTGTATGGTTGGCATCCCTAATAAGGACTTCAGTTATGTAAATTAGTTATCTTGCTCTTCAGTCAATGTATACAATTCTCAGTTATTTACTCTAAAATACAGATAACTAGCATGAATTGCTCTTATTGCTATCACTGTTGAACTGTAAATAATTATGGCATTAAATAAACTAACTGAAATGTATTAACTTATTTTAGTTAATAATACCAAAGAAAGGCCTGCAGTACAACTATATCTATAAAAAAGTGCCAAAGAAATTGATCCTCAATGTTTATGTCAGATTCATTTTGTAGTTGTTATTTTTGTAGAAGTAGATAAAATTGTTAAAAACATACATATATTATGAAATAGTAAAGATAGCAACAACTAACCTCTTGCCTCATGATCTTCTTATCAGTGCAGTTATCCTTCTCTAACTCAATAGCAAGTGATAAGCAACCTACAATAGCTATTGCAGGGGCACCTCTCACCTTAAACATTACAAACATAATTATTTCATATTATAACAACTATATTATGGTAGTCTTCCATATTTTCTATAATTATAAAGTAATATAGTAGCTATTTAGTTCAACTTATTAGTACTTCCTGAAATGATCTCCTGCTTCTGTATTGTGCTACTACAACAATTTTAGGAAATGATTCCATTGTGGATGTACATACATTGTGCATACACATAATAAAAGAATTCAAATCAAGATCAAAGCTTAAAGTACAAGGTGTTTGTGGTTTAATGTACTACCAATACCCCTTGATATTATTTGATTTGGAAATTACTGTGATTTTGTTTAGGAATAAAGAAGGTAATTTTCTATAGCTTCCAGAAATATTTTGACCTTTTGTAACTAAAAGCTTTTGTTTATTCTTATCAAGTAACATATTAAAAAAGTTTTATCTATAGAAATGATAAAAAATATAAAAATACTTTATTGTAAGCAGTATCTCCTACTGTATTATTCCATAATTATACTGCTAATTGTAAAGTATTTTTAATATCAGCTTTGGATGTTCAAATATGGAATTAAATATGCAAGGTGTTTATTCCTGCTTTCCTAAATTGCCCTCAATGAGAATTTAATGTGATACAAAAGTTGCTATGTGTTTTATGAAATATTGTTTAGGCTGTATATGGTTATTTCGTTGCCATATAATTATAAAAAGAAAATATGTATTCTTGAATAAAATATGGTGGGAAATACACAGAAATTATATTGTTAAAAAAGTATTTTTATTCCATCAACCTCGGACTTATTCATTGGTCTAAACGAGCCGGATTGGAACACAAACAAATTGTTCAGGTTTTCAGATAGTTTTTTGGAAATATTAACTATCACTTGCTACGTTACACTAGGCAGCGGGACGTTGTCTAGAACATTCCATTAGCAAAGCGTCAAGGCTGGACGTTAAAGCAGTGGAGGAACCGGGTTGTAACTCTCGGAGGAGTAACGTACGAGCGGATCAAGGTCGAGGTTGAAGGCTACCACGGAACCAAGCATGATGTGCATGAAAAAACGGTGAAATTGGAGTCAAATAATATTAAAGTGTTGTGGTGTATGCGGTGCGCAATTTGTGAGTACATTACATTTAAATAGAACGGATAGTAAATTTTGGAGACGAAAGAATTTAGAAAATCGTCATATTTTACACACAAAAGAAGATTAAAATTATATTTGTTAAAAAATATTAATTAGTTGCGGATTTTTAATTTTGTAGTATTATAATTACCTATATATTGTGGACATTTTAAATTTGTTGGATTATAAATTTGGTGGCGTCACTTAGTTCGAAATTCAAAGAACGCGCCATTCGAAATTTAAATATTTGTACATTTTATTAGAAATTTATTATTAGTTCATTTTATTTAATTCCTATGAGTACCAAAATGGATTCTATTATTAAATGTCAATACGATTTACATTTGAGAATAAATAAAAATAAAGATAAATTTAAACAGAGTTCTAACGATAGGCTTACTAAGGAGTATATTGAAACGCGGCTTGAAAGTGTTGAGTCTTTATGGCTTGAATTCTTTTCTGGTCACAAGGAACTCATACGTTGTAGTGACTCAGAGAAATTAAATAGGTCAAACTATGTAACTGACGAGATTTATTATAATACGGAAGAATTGTATTTAGAGTATAAGAGTGATTTAAAATTAATTTTATGTAAATTTGATAAGAATGATGAAACAAATGTAATCAATTCTAGTGCTAAGTCATATCAAGTACGTCTTCCTCAGATCAACATTCCTATTTTCTCAGGGAATTATTTGGAATGGACTAGTTTTAGGGACTTATTTCTGTCACTAGTGCATTTTAACAACAATTTAAATAATGTAGAAAAGTTGCATTACTTGAAGGGATATTTGTCTGGCGAAGCCGAGCAATTATTGCGACATATACCAATTGCAGGCGTTAATTATAGTAGATGTTGGTCACTTTTGGAGGAACGCTACAATAATAAAAAATATTTATCACATTGTATTCTTAAAAGATTAATTAGTCAGAGAAATTGTTCTACGGAGTCTGCTTCTGGAATAAGAGATTTAATAGATACAACAACAGAGTGTTTAGAGGCATTATTAAGTTTAGGAATTGATGTTACAAATTGGGACGTATTAGTTATTCACATTATATCATTAAAATTAGATCCGGAAACAAAAAGGCAGTGGGAATTTAATATTGCGAACAGTATTAATTCAGACGGTTTACCAACATTTTGTCAATTTAAGGAATTCCTTACTAGTCGATTTAGAGCATTAGAGTTTCTAGAATGTAATGTCAGTAAATCAATCAAATGTCATACGGTTAATGTTAATACATCTGATGATCGGAAGAGTATACCATTTAGTTGTCAATATTGTTGCGGTTCTCATAAAATAGGTTTTTGTAAAAAGTTTGCAGCGACCGATACCGATGCTAGACGGGATTTTGTTCATAAAAATGGTATATGCTTTATTTGTCTGGGTTCTAATCATATTGCTAAATACTGTAAAAACACCGCCAGATGTCGCATATGCAAGGGACGACATCATTCTCTATTACATCCACGGATATATAATAATAAGTCAGGATCAAATCAACAATTTTGTAAAACAGAGTCAATTAAAAAAGAAACATCGGCAGGTTTAAAATCGGAATTACAAGAGGAACAACAATCTACACCTGTTGTGTCTTATTTTACGACAGGGGGATCGGATAAAACTACATTACTAGCCACAGCTCTGGTAAAGGCTGAGTCGGGAAATGGGAAACATCAGGTCATAAGAGCCTTATTAGATCAAGGTTCAGAGGCATGTTTTATAACGGAGGCTACGGTTCAGCTTCTTGGTTTAAAAACAGTTCCGACGAATAGTATTATTCACGGAGTCGGTGGAGAAGAGAGTACGAAGTCAAAATCGGTTGTTAATATAAAGATACAGTCCATTATTGATTCTACTTTTGAGATAGAGGTTACGGCTTATGTTTTGAAATCTGTAACGAATATCCTGCCCGTAACTCGAGTAACACCTATAGAATGGAATAATATAGCCATTTCAAACTTAGCAGATCCACAATATCACATACCTAGCACAGTTGATATCTTGTTGGGTGCTAACGTTTACAGTACAGTAATAAATGAAGGGTTAAAGAAAAGTAAACAAGGTTGTTTAGTAGCTCAATCAACTGTATTTGGTTGGATAATATCTGGTGTTACAAATACATATAAGTCATTATCTTCACATAGTACGCCAGTGCATTGTTATGTCCATCCAGATGTCAGGAATAATTTATCTGCAAAGGAATATACATTATTAGAATTAAAGGTACATAAAAACAAAAAGTTTAAACAAAAGTATAATGAAGTTATGTATGAGAATATGTACACTAAATACAGAAAACGTCGTATAAAGAGAGACCTCTTAGAGAGTATACTTACCTTGTATGTAGTTATGTGTAGATCCATGCTAGTAAAAAAAAAAAATTAGAAAGATCAACTAGAAATAATTAGCACCATATTAAAAATTATTAAGCAGTTCAGAATAATTCATTAATTAAAAGCAATAATATAATTAAAGAATAAGAAAGGTTTTATGTTTAAAGGGTTAGCATTAAATATCATATGTGTAAAAATTAAATATAATATAGTTTACTTACCGGGAATATATTTTAATGCAGTTCTTTTCTGAGTATTCATATATAAAAATGATTTAATATAATAGTACGAAGCTTCTGAAAGCATTGCTCACTGAGAATGATATCTGATACACATCTGTATATATGACAAAACATGAACAAAGATCTGCACAAATTATAGAAATTTATATTTAATCTAAATATTAGTTCGTTCGGATCTGCGTGGATTCTAATAATCTGGACAAAATCTAAGTTGTGCATTCTTCCGGTCACAGACAAATAGGTATATATATAAGGTTTTAATTTCATATTTGTTGTTAATAAAATTATACAACTGTTTTAAGTACATAGTTCAAATGTAATATTGGTAAGCTAATGAAATTGTTTGGGTTCTGATCAATATATTATATTTGTTGTATAAAAAATTATTTGTTTGTCATTAGAGTATGGACACATCAGTGTGTCCATGGTGGGCGGTATGTTTAGGCTGTATATGGTTATTTCTAATTATAAAAAGAAAATATGTATTCTTGAATAAAATATGGTGGGAAATACACAGAAATTATATTGTTAAAAAAAAGTATTTTTATTCCATCAACCTCGGACTTATTCAAATATATATGCTGCATACATTATCAATCTTATGAAATAAATACTTATACTGTATTGTCTATAGACAGTATTCCAGTGTCACATAGATTTAATATGCTGATATCGTAATAGTGACACATTGTGATTATGTTCAATATTACATTTATTTTATAGTTATATATTGTGTGCATGGGAGTACAGCTAAGACATTAGATAGCAATTGGTATAATTATAATTCAAATACAGAATTAGTTCTTAGGACTCAAATAAATTCACAGATTCAATTACATCTCTCTGACAATTTATTAGCTTCAGTTAGGCTGTTTTAGTCCACTCCACTTATAGTATCGGTTCTAGAATAGGTTATTCTTTGAAATAAATGATTGTCGAAGTGATGCAAATTCAAGGAATTTTATTACAATGTCAAAATCACGACAAAATAGGTTCTTGAAATCTTACTTGGTCATTACCAAGTAAGATTTCAAGAACCTATTTTGAGCTTGATACTGTCAATTATAAAGAAATTGTGTAATACAGTAAAGTATATTAAAGAGTAAATCTTTTTAGAATTACCTGCATTTTATTGATAACTCTCCATCCATCTTCTACACCTTGTACTTTTACATAGCGCGTTTGTAGTGGAAGCAAGAGTTGGTCTAAAATTTCTAGCTTTCCTCTTGTATATCTTATAGATTCCAAACTCATATTGAAATAATTAATAGCTGTAAATAGCAGTTTGTTAAGGAAAATAATACTTAACATATATTTTTATACAAGTACAAAAACATATCAGGTACATTGTTGGTAAAGTTTATATTTTATTAGAACGTATATATATATATATAAGTAGTAGTAAGTATAAAAGTAAGTATTTTTTTATTAATTACTTACCAATAATTAGCAAGAATTATATTATATGCGGGAAAAAATAATTTAAGTACGTGTATGACTTTTAAGATAGAGTTATTTTTTAGATAATTTAAATAATTATGGAATTTGAAAAATATGTAATGAATTAAAAAATATTAAAATTATTGAATAGAAAAAGGACATAGACTACATAGAGATAAAATTAGACATTGACATTAAGTAAGTAATCACTATTACTACGTTATAAACATAGACTAAGGTTTTGAATTAGAAGCAAGCAATCAATTGAAGTAAATAATCACAAATTAATACGCATTTATTATATTTTAGTAGGTAAATAATTTATAATGTATTTCGAAATAACAGCGATAACAATAATTTATTGAAAATTTTCATCTTATAGAGTCGCCAGCAAGATAAATATGTCACAGGTACTTTAGCAATCAGTCAACTAAGAAGAATACAGTTGTTCTTTGCAATTTTAAATGATGACTATAGATGCACTAAATAAATTGACCTCAAATATGTTTATTAATATTTTTTTAAAAATTAAAAATAATTAAATATTTTTCATTGTTCTCGGTCTGAACAGTTATAGGATATGATGTAACGACGTAAATTGTCTATGATCCATTTCACTTCCGCCCGGCATTGACGAGAGACGCATCGTGTTCGGCTTCGTCATTGTGTCGCCTCATAGGGATTAATTCATTGGACAAAACTGAATAAAATGTCTGCACCACGAGTTTTCTTCGATGTGGTTGCCGATAATTCAGCCCTGGGAAGGATTGTGGTTGAGGTAGGTTAATTATTTTATAATTGTTGAATCTGTCATCTTAACCGGCGGATCCGGCCGGCGTGATGTTAGCACACCACGCTTTTTCTAGAAGCGCGTCCTTAGTATTATTTTCCGTCGTTTTCCTTATTATTTATAATTAGTGTTGATTACAATCCATTTTATTAATCTTACACATAGATAACTTATTTTGACTACATACGACAATCTTCTTTAAAAATAGGCGTTACTGAACCGTCATAATTATTTCTCAGCTAACCGAAATTAAGCACCTTTGCAATAATGAAGGTCAATTCCAGTGTTGCCAGATGATTGTCTGCCATCCCCCAAAATTCGAATTTTGAAGACATATCCTTCACATAAAGGAGTCTATTTTTTTAAATGGACAAATATGGAATAAGTCTTCCACCAGTGCTAACCATATAGGTTGACGAGGCACCAGTGGCAGACTATGGTCTTCAATAAAGGTCGAGAATGAAGTCTGCCTAAACATCTACATCTTGGCGAATTCACTAGGAATTAATCATCGACGATTTCTTGAGGTAGACCACGTGGATGTCGATCTGACAATGTAACCTATCGCAATGCACTGAGCATTGCTACTTGGAATCATGGCACTCATGTTATTATTATCTCCAAGAAGTTTGGATTAAGAGTCTGTATACAATTCTGATTACTGTATATTTTAGGCTTGTCCTTTAAGTTATTTTTTATTACAATTGCATTTGTTCTTATTTGTTTCAACCTGCACAGTTAAGTTCTTGTTTTTATTAAACCCTCACTAGTCATCAAGTTTCCTCAAGTTTGGGGGGAAATCTTCAATATGGCATCACTGGTCAATGCATTATGGGCTTGACTTTATGAACGAATGGAATTTACCACAATAGCGTCATAAGCATTGAAAGTTCTATTTATTTATGTGGGAATTTATCTGCTACTATTATATCAATTGCATAGACATTTTAATTTCCAAGATGATAAAAATGAATCAAATGTTTTAGAGTCAGTGATGGTTTTAAAAAGTTATTGAATTTTGGAGCATTTTCAAATACATTCATATTTTAAGTTGAAATTATATGAAATTCTATTAATAAACGATGAACAAACATATGTTTAGGGAATGAAATTTGAACTTTGGGAAAAAAAAATATTTTGTATCAATTCATAAATCAACAAAAATTATAAGTGCCTATAAAAGAATTGAAGTATTTATAATTTAAACTATTATTGTTACAGTTAAGAACAGATGTTACCCCCAAGACATGTGAGAATTTCCGTGCCCTCTGTACTGGCGAAAAAGGATTCGGTTACAAGGGATCCACCTTCCACCGAGTGATCCCCAACTTCATGTTGCAAGGAGGTGACTTTACAAACCACAATGGCACTGGTGGCAAGTCCATCTACGGTGAGAAGTTTGCTGATGAAAACTTTGTCCTGAAGCACACCGGACCTGGAGTCCTATCTATGGCTAACGCTGGTGCCAACACCAATGGCTCCCAATTTTTCATCACCACTGTGAAGACCTCGTGGTTGGATGGTAGACATGTTGTCTTTGGAAATGTCGTTGAAGGAATGGATGTGGTTAAACAAGTGGAAAGCCTGGGCTCACAGTCGGGCAAGCCATCAAAGAAAGTAGTCATCGCTGACTGTGGTCAACTTTCTTAATTTAATTCTGTAATATTAAAGTATAATGCAATATTTTAAGTTTAACACTGTCCTCCTATGTAATACCTTCCCTGTCATCCTAAAACATTTAAAGTTAACTATGGATCATTCCATATAATTATGCTGTTAAATTTTATGCTGTTTTAGATCGCAAACTAGGTATTGCATTTATTTCTGTGTATTGATTAATCATAATAAATAAATTAACTTAATACAATTAACATAACTTGTATATTCATTAGTCTTCAAATATTTCTAAGTTACAGTGGTTAGATTCTGCTAGATATTCAATTTCACATTTTATTTAGAATTTAGTATCTAATCTGAATAAATGTGGTGGTCTTTTGCTTACTTGTGATTAATATATTTTTAAAATTTATTTCTTTTTAATTAATATCCCTTATAATAACGTAGAGAAATGAAAGGAAGCAATACTAGAAAACTATGAAACATTATTAGTCGCAAGAAAGTAAATTTTGGTCAGTTTATGAGTAGCTGGCAAACGGTGATTGCACAAGTAATTGGCATAATATTGGTATCCGAGCTTCGGCTTGTGGAGGATTGAGTAATATTTTTTTTTTATTTTTAACTGCTGGAGAAAAGTACGCTGCTTTATTAGTTCCGAAGTTGTAAGTATGTACTCGTGTATCATGGCATGGGATTACGAGTAAGTTATCAGCATGTATATCGCCCACCATAATTTGTTTGGCATCGTATCGTTATATAGGACAAAACCTCGTCCCTTGGGTTGATTGGGTATAGTTAATTACCACTGTTCCATAAAAAACAAAACCTAGTCGCTAGTTGTTTTTCGTTTTTAACTACGATTTGAGCAGTATTTTTAATCAAAAGTATGAAATCGCAAACAGCGACCGCGAACATCCGTAACAACATTCAAACGTTGCCATTTCAGGACGCTAATATGTCATGGTCCTTTTTTTCTCATGATTTTCTGTTTTCTTAGAATGTACATAAGACCTAAATAGTTCTATTTAGGTCTTATGTATTGGATAAATAAAAATGGAAATTGTAATTCACATCTACTCAACTCTGCTTACATTACAGCGTTATATCATTAGCTATTTGCGAGTGAAAGTCCAGTCAAAATAGATGCAGCTGTTTCAGAGATTCGAAAGAATCTGAACATGGTGATAAATTTTTTTTTATATAAGTACCGCATATACATTTAGAGGAAAGCTGGTAATTAGAAATTACAAACAGATAGGTAGGTACTTTATTTATATGTATAGATTAATACTAACGCGTCATTACATGTCAGGTTTAGTGCATTGTTAACTTATTAGATGTCTGTTGCAGTTTCCATAATACTGGATTTCGATCCTTCATTTTGATAAAAATACTTTTAATATTCTGAACTACATTTATTTAAAATAGCAACACGCAAGTTATATGCCCATTCTTCTAGTGATGAGTCTGCGTTCCGAATGAGTGGTAGAATAAAGAAAAAATGACTACTAAAATGCTTATGTTAAATTTATTTGAATATTTTTATATTATTACTATTTCGTATTTTTTTTTTCCAAAATTGGGTTAACGTGTCCCATACACACCTACGTACCTACACGGCTAATATCAAATCAATGGTAATAGTTTCTGATATAGCCCTGTGAGCATATCACAGATGAACGGAGTAGGTAAAAATTAAGTAAAAACTCCGTTCTGTAGAAAATGATACCAATTATTTAGATAGTCTTAAATATTATCTATTTGTATCAGAACTGAGTTAGTTTTCAATAACAAAAACAAAATTTATTGATAACCGTATACTTAGGTCTTTGCCCCGTATTATATTATTAATAATTGTCATAGCAATCAAAGAATCAATTTGCTCAAATAAGCAAATAAAGAAAAACATCTCACGTCTTTTCTGTTTGTTGTAGGTATATCAAGATTATTTTATTTCCTAATCTCCAGATTTCCACTTAAAACAATGCTGCGATGTATGACTAGGCACGTCTCGGTCTTAGCAGGCTATATCTTTATTTACACTAGGATGAGTTCTAGTGGTCCCATTGGTAGTAAATTATGGTACAAGATACGGGGTAAGGGATTGTTAAATAAAGTATTTGTATTTTCATTTCCTGATTATATTCTGTAATTGGTGTATTAAGAATTTATCTTCTCTACTAGATCTGTCCACGGATTCACTAGCTTGAATATATATTGTCTATTGGATATTCTGACATATAAGCTATGTAAAGTTTCATTGAAACCCATACCTTTTTTGCGTAAAAGGGTAAAAAACATCCATAACACTCACAAACTTCGGAGTTTATAATATTAGTAAAAAGTAAGGTTAATATAACACATAATGAAAACAGAAATGACATTAATATTGCAGAACAAGTTTATTATTTGATTTTGAAACTACACGAATAGGCATAACATATAAATTTAAAAACCAGTCCGACTGTGAAAGTATGGAAAAGACAGTATAATTAGGGTAACTTTAATTAATACTTATGATAAAAAAAAACGATATTCCTACGAAGTTCTCTACTTGTTATAATTGACTTAAAACATTTATGACTCAGCAAATAAAACTAACCTGCGCTTATTATTCAATTATTATTGTGGTTATTTGTGTCTATATACCTATTCATTAAAGATTATATGTATTGAGAATTAAATAATGACATTTGTTGGATCAAATCTACATCAATATATGAAGCTATTGATACCAATTTTAATATCATTATAAAGGTTTACATGAGGTTATAACTTGGGAGTATTATAATGAAATAAATTATTGCTTCTATTCTATTTAATGACCAAAATATGTGATTATGTAATCACCCTCTAACATCGTACCGGTATTTAATTACTGTTATTAGCCTTTACGTTACCTACGTATATATTCAATTTCCATGCTAATATATAACGGCAATAGCATTTAATATAGGTATTATTGCTTGCTATTATACCTATATCTTACAATAGGTATAGGGATAATGATCCTTTATTTAATTTTATTTATAATAACGAACTGACTGAATAACGAATCCATAGAATTGTAATTCGAATCATGTACCTACGTCATCATGTATTTAAATACTACTTAAAAAAATAACATTATAGATGCGTGTTTATAAAGCGAAGCAGAAGTTAGGTATTCTTACAATGAGGATGTAATAAATCATGCATTAATTCTTTTGTTCGGCGTTGTGAGCATTTAAATAATTTATTCCCTAACTAGGTGTAATAGAAGTTAATAAGGCAATCATAAGGTTGGGAGTATGAGAGATAGAATTGTAGCAAGGACGTTGAAGGTTCTTCGGCTAGTTCCGGAATCGTGATTGCATAATGAAGTGGTACAGCACGAGGTGCACGCGTGAAGTTTGGTCCGCTCCCCGATGATGATGCAGCCTGGCTCGCAATGCTTTGTGCAGTTGCGCTCCAAAGCCCACATCTTTAGTGCTGTTGTGGAGTTTTCGTTGGAAGTTGTATATGAGAAGCGTTTGACCTGTAGAAATGTACGTAAGAATTATATGTCTAGTGATCTAGTCGTTCAGCACATTACCTTATTTCCGATGGTCTCGGGTTCAATTCTCACGCAATTCGCACGTTATAAATATTTATATCTATAATGTGTTCTTGTTTAAATTTTATCGATGTATTTTACTAATACGGACTGTTTAATATTCATAGTAAACTCTGCTCAGTTTGAAACTACCTAAATGCGACTATGTGAATTGTCCTAGATTTTTTTTAATGTTTCAGATATTACATAGTATTTTCATAAAAGTTCTAATAATTTAGAGTAGACTGTATTATTAAATTTAAGAAGTTTCTGACTCTGACTACTTTGTACCTCGTAAACAAATGTAAACATATATTTGTATGCATAAAATATTAGTACTGTATCAAAAGAGTTGAATACTCAAATGTCTAGAAAAACCGCTAAAAATAACTGCCATAAATCTTAAACATAAACGGTATCCAACATTTGTTAATAGAATAATAAACTATATATATTGTTATACCACGTACAAAAAAATGTACCCACACAGTTTGCAATAATGATATATTCTATTCTATTCTATTCTAAAATACAACATCAACAATATCTATGTATTTATTTAAAAGTGACTCAACAATGCGAAAAATAATATTAAAGCATCGTGGGCGTGGCTCTATACATATTATAAATCAGGGAGCATACAGAGGGATTTATATATGTTCAGAAGTAGTTTGAACATGAATTTAAATAGAAAAAGTTTTAAATACCTATACCCAACAAATGTGGACATTTCATGTATTGTATCCGCCACAAGTTCGAGAGTTGACACAGCTTTTGATTATTCCATTTGCGCCAACAGTTGTGAATATATATATATATATATATATATATTATAAGAGAAAAAGCCTTTCCCTGTACATATAAGTATTTAGGGTTTATCACTTTCACCAAGTGTACCTTTACATATTCTCCTAGCCGTTTTCTTTCATTTAATTTAAAAGAATTAGTAAATGAACATCCGTACCATGCACACTCGCCGGTCATTGTGGCACTTGTGTATGAGGGCGGAGTTGTTCTGTCGCAAGTCCGCACATTTGTCCTCCGGCACCTCCGCGAGGCATCTGTAGCACCAGAGCTCGTTGTTGGGCCGAGCCGCCGCGGACGTGACATGGACGCTGTCTCTTAGTAAGTCACACTCACCTTCTGGAAAAAAATCATGCACATATCAAATAATGCCACTGTAAGTAACTGCGGAACATGTATTACAGAGATTAACTGCTGGTTTATAGTATATAGCTTTTGTTCACGGCTTTACCCACTTCTAATTCTCATGGGAATATAAAAGAAAGTGTTTCCATTATATTATATTCCCGTGAGAATTTTGGAACACGCCTCCAGACTTAGGTATTATTCTATTTAAACGTATGATAATATGAGTTCTTAAAATGAAGCAATGACCGATGTGGCTGAAACTAGTATCGGATCAGTCAGCTTTCACAGCTAAGTTTTTTAGCATTTACAAGAAAGAAAATAAAGTGCGAAAAATAACAATTCAGATATACAAATTTTCTCTACCAATGAAATGTAATATTGAGAAGGGGACATATTTTAACATTTTACTTATGTTTAGTCATCATACGACTTAAAATTATAAATAATAAGTTTATGATCCACCCATTCAGGTGTTTGGTGAATAGTATTTGGTACACAAAGACATCATATATTAGTATTTTTGATGCGTTTTTTATTTCTGTTTAAAGTGCTAACTTGATCATTGGATGCAATTTGTTATAATATAATATAGATATAAATAAATCACCGTTTAGCTTTATATAGAAATCATAGGATGTTATACACTTCTCAGAACACTTGACCACAGACAAGATTAGACATTTGTATAAACTAAACGCACATCAACAAAATGAGTTCTACATTAAAATATTAGTTTTTAGAATATCAAAGCATGCAGTAATTTTAATTATATGATTATTATTAATATAAAGAACTTTGTTTTGACATACCTGGTGTGAATAATGACAGCGAGATCAGTATCAGAGAGCGCATGGTGTGTGCACTGTGAAATGCGCATGTCCCAGCATCCCGGTATCGATTTAGTCTGGACCCGGACCTGTTGCTGCTCCCGGCTGGCCACGCCCACTGTCCTCTCCCCTCGACCGACCCTCAGGGCTTTGTCGAAACACTTTGATCGAGGAAAACAATCTCAACTTTCTGAATTCTTGGGAAAATTAAAAACTTTCGCTTGATCTTCACCAGCCCTATTACTATATTCACTGGCGAACATTTCGATCATTTACCATAATTTAGAATGTATGAAGTACACACACCACACCTATTACAGTAAGCATCTAGGCGTAATGTTTAAAAAAACAACAGAACCTACTGTTATTTAAATTTTTTAAAGCATATATTTTCCTTTATGACATACATAGGTAAATATTTATATGATAGTTCTATATAAAATTGGTTATTGAAATCTTAAATTATTGTATATGATGATAACTAATAGCTAAATTGATGGTAGCTAATAACAAAATTAGTTATTAGTTTTTTTAGAAACAATCACATTTTTTTATCAATTTTAGCGATAGAAATACTTACTTATCTTTTCTCGAGAGTCAAAGAGTCGAGAGAATCGAACCGGTTACCATCGACGAGAAAGGCGGTTTGCTAAACCGCTAGACCACCAAGGCCGCAATAATAATCAATAGTATTCTTTGGGAGAGATTTATTCTCGATTTATCTACGTACGTTTTATAATGTAAATAAAATCAAGCCTAATTCACTGCATGAAACATCTGGAGTAGTTTATTGTTAAGACTTATTCGCTTTGGAGAAAATATAATGCATATAAATCTTTCATCACGTCGGTCTCATGTTTAGGAAACAGTTTCTTTCCAACTGCCGCATTTCTTTTGCTATAGAGCGTTTCTGATTTCGCTAAAGAGACCTATTTTTAGATAACTCATGTTTAACGCCATGACGACTCCATCACGTCGGGCTTAATTGCCCATTGTGTTAATTAAGCCTCGGCAATTTTAACCCTAATTTTAGAGTCCTACTAAATTCATAGCATTGCGGCTTAGTGGTTTGATATTTCAATGTAGTCCCCAAAGGGCGTGAGTTCAATATAAAAATTATTTCATGTCAGTTAATAATTCTAATATACAGTATAGGGGAGAAGGGGGGGGGGGAGAGGATTGTTAGTGATGTGGATTGTTACCCCATTGCTAACAATGTACTGCCATGTATGGTACCATGTCAGATGGACCTTCACCCGGTAGCAATAATAAATTCCTAGTGAATTTGTCACGATGGGCTAACTGACCTGACCTCATCTTCATCTTATCCTCAAGTGGTGCCCTGCCAGCGCAAACTGATAATGCTGGCGAGAGCATCATTTCATTATTATCCATTTAAAAAAACATGGTGTTTGATAACACGAACCAAACTAATCCGAGAGATGGCGGTAGGCTCACTGCCAGCCACGATGGATTACAATAAATATTAATATATATACCTTGCGATATGTGGGATAAATCGTGGTATCGGTAATCGTCGACGTCGTTAATTGACCCTGCTTTTGATTACGTATATGGTATAATTGTCGGAAGGTATATTACCGAAATAATAATCAATATTGCATTTACGCGTAGATTATTATAACATATGTAATTAATATATGTCGGAATTCAGAAAACAAAAAGTAATATTATATGTGGAACAATCAATTTGATAAAATCTAGGTATCGAATTTATTTTATTGTATAAATTTAAAATTTACGTATCATGTCATTTTATTTGAATAGAAACAATGAAAAATTTGTTTAGTAGGTATACAAAGAAAACATTTAGTTTAGTTACAATACTATTGTGCATTATAAAAATTTAGATATAGGTAGCTATGTTGTAATATTAACCTTTTTAAAATTTTAAACCTTGAGTGTATTTGATATAACAAGATATATACCAGTCGGCCACACGTTTGCGGTGTCACAAGAGCTATCTAATTGAGAGGCATGAATTATTCTTGATTTTTGTACAATGTTTAATGCTGAGTTCATATCAAAACTATAATATAAAATATATAATAAAAATAATAGCGATAATAATAAGCCCGAAAAACTCATACATCGCCACTTAGTCTCAAGCTGTACCTATATGTCATATATGTCTATATCTATCTATATATGATTTTTATATGTATCGTACATATATATGTATATATATATAGGTTCAATTACAAGCAGTATACATTACAAAATATTTAGATCAATACAATTGAATATGGGTAAGTAAATGTTTACTTAATATTAGCTACTATATTGCAACTTTTTATCGGCGATTGCAAATCCAATTTATTTTTATCAATATAAAGTAGGTTGGCTGCAATTCTATTTAAATAAAAATGATCTAAGAAGAGATAAGTGTGATAGCATCGAAAACCTGTTTCAATTATTATTTTTTATTTTGTCCGGAAATAATAACTTAGGTAATTTTCATCTTAAAAATATTTGACCTGTTTGCACTGTGATTTTCCCGCGCAGTTTTTGCCGCTTTTGAAGGAATCTAAGAAATGTAGATAAAGTAAGCTATATATACATGTAGCGTAAAAGACGAAGAAGTGTTTTTTTTAAACCAATCCCCACAGCAGTTAATTATGAGTATAATTTCGAACATGGGAAAAATAAATTATGAGTACCTACTATAATTTTTGTTTATGTAATCTATTATTCTAGATATTATTCTTTGTAAGTGAATACTTACATATGATTGATACATAATACGAAAAATGTGTTCATTACAGCTGTTGTGACATAATAGTTTGTTAACACGTGTTGATGTTTTAGCACCAGGTGCAATAAAGCTGCGTGTGAAAGTATTTTTTAATTATGGTAAAAAGACTAATTAAAAATACTCTCACACGCAGTTTCCTCTTTGAATGTCGAAACGTCGGGTGCATCAATGCAAATGAAGGCGGCATTTCGAAACATTTCATTAATGACTCTGGAAATATCCTCTTAAAATGCAGTCTTCGTTTAGAACTTACGTTGCTATAATGAATGATTGAAAAGGGCAGCAGTAGGAAGCTTAGACTATTACTAGTTCAGGAATCTATACGACTTTCTCGTTTCATAATTTGGTTCATTAATGAACAAATTGTTAATGTTGCTAGGTATAATATAATTAGAATTTAGCGGTAAACATGAAAGAGACAGTGAAGGGTTGATTTAAAATTTAGCTGGCCCTTCAAAAGTGTTTTAGCTCATTATAAAATTACTTAATTCGGAGTTACTCAGAAGTCAGTGAAAAGGTGGTGGTAATTCTACGAAGGGGTTTTGTTTATATAGGCTTCAGAGATTAAGGGACGTTATGCGACTTTTGTGTATATAGTGTGTGTCCACACATGGTAGAGACTTGCTTGGTGTCCCCAAATTTGCTATTTTGTACTAGTTATTAGAGATCAAACACAATTACGTTCTATTGTACGTAGCATTATCGTTACTAATACAAAGTTATTAACTACGTAGACGTAGTGATCCTTGAATGAATGAATATTAACCGAATGACACTTCGTACAATGTCATCTGCCAAGTAGGTAATATAAGCTGTTTCTGAAATTAATTTAATGAACTTACATCGTATTATTTCAAAGGAAACAAGAAGCGATATAACGATATATCGATGACCTTATTAAGTATATTTACACATTATTTTATACTCCCTATTTCTTCTAAAGTAACTACGAAACATATGTTGTTACGGAAGGAAGGATGGACTGTATTAAGGCTGGTTAAAAATGAGACACGTTCTTAGGTGAGGTAAAATAGCTGTAATCAGCTCGCTAGCAAAAATATAAAGACAATATGGCATTAGAAAACAAATAGTATATAAAAACAGAACGTCAAAATATAAAATTCAAATATATATAAAAAACATAAAAACTATCAAAAAGGTTGCCATCGGCAACATATGTACCTACATGGGTTTTGTTTTTCTTTTCTGATCTATCCATTAAATCCAATAAACATATGGGCCATTAGATATAGGTAAGTAATAAACCCCACGGAAAAAGAAATCTTATTGAAAAAGAGTATCTACTCTAGATGATTAAAAGGTCCGTCTTTGGTATTTCATTTTTGAAGGAGAAACGAAACATTTTTCGTACCCTAAAATATACCCGTTTATACTCTGTGGATAGGTACATTTCACGAACAAAGCGGTAACCTGGAGCGATTTATGAACATTTTCCTCAAGTAGAATTTATTTACAATTTAATAATTACCCGGTTGGCTTCGTTGCAAAATTGATTTCACTTTCAACAGGTCAATCTAGAAACATGCTTTGAGGAAAAATAAATTGTTAATTTTAAACAATTTATTACTTTCTCTATACTAATACAGACTGAAGTAGGTATTATTATTATATATAAACGACTTTGAAACACACAGCCATATTTAGCACAGAGTAATCAACACTAGGTTTTACAAGAGTAGAGAGAACACCGCTCTAATGAGAAACCTACATTAAATCTACATATGTAACAACCTCTAAGGGATTTAAAAAAGCGCATTTTGTAAACAAAAGGTTTTATAGACGCGAACAAAACCTTTAAAAGAAATATACATACCAACAAGTTACGAATATGTAGTACTAAAAGATTATCTACTCTACAGATATTCTTTATTATACATACAACTATTGTCTATTCTGTAAGTACATAGCTAGTGATGTGCAACTAGTGCAACATTGCGTTCAATACAATCGCTTTGACTTGATTTAACTAGAATGATTTTGAATGTTTTAGTATTTAAACTTGTCCATCGTCACATCTATACCTGCGCTATCTATACTCCTATATAGTTTTTGTTATCTACCAATATTTATATAATATTTTTTTTTATCAAATACCTCATTTATTTTAAGTCTGTATTCCACATATATAGAAAAGATTCTCTTTGTTTTTAGAAATCTTAAAACTGAATTTATAAAATTAAAACGCAATAATAAAAGAACAGAAAACTGTCAGATGTTTGTTAAGCAGTGTTAATTTTACTTAAAATGTTTTGTTTGTCGTTGTTCCA